TGACTGTAGTAAACGTTTGTCTCCCAGAGCATGGGAACTGAGTTTACTGGAAAGGACCCAGCTGCTCTGGGATTTGTGAACTGTGTGACGCTGCTGTCGACTCGTCTTCAAACATAACGACTAATATTAGACGATTCAGCACTTGGTCAAAGTTCATCATGAAATTGAAAGTGTTTGTTGAGTAATGTCAGCACTGAATACGCCCACTGAGGAAACTGTGGCTGAGTTTAAATGGATGTTATGAGAAGTATCTTCCCTGCTTAATGAAACGATGACGGCCCCGGGGTCTCTCTGCTCACTGCGTCATGTATAAAGGTGGGAACAGCTTTGAGCAGCTGAGCTCTTCCAGCCTTCCTCATGCATACTTTGTCCTCAGCTGTGTGCTGCAGACGTGTTTGGTTGTCTCAACACAAACACTTGTTTGACAAACATGCACAACAAAGCTAAGAGCACTGGTCCCATCTGGTTCAGGGGGCTGGGAAGCTCATCTTGTAACCGGAAGTTTGCCGGTTCAATTCCCAGCTCGTTGTGTCCTTGGGCAAGACGCTTCACACACCAGTGAGTGAATGAATAGTGGAACTGTACAGCGCTTTGAGGGTCTCAAAAAGCGCTGTATAAATGCAATCCTTTATTACACACGAGCCTGTTTTGGCCTTTGTTGCGTTCAGGTTACTGTTGCCCACATTTACCCTGAAATTCTGTTCGATCCTGTTCGTGTTTCTACAGCAGCTGTTTGAGGAAATGCTGCATGTTTAAAAAAGCCTGCAGCAGCGTACCCCCCAGGCAGGCTGCCCCACTGTGAATCATCAAGTTACTGCAGTGGTTGACCACAATAACAACACACAGGTGCAAATGAACTTTGACATTTGTGTTCCAAGCGTCGAGGTGCTTCTCATCTTTATTAGCCTGTGACAGCTCCTGTCTCCTGATTATTAATAGCATTAATGACACATTTAAAGATGACACAAGTATGTGTATAAAGCAGCCTCTCCATCGGCTCTCTTCCACAGCGTCTCTGTCCGGTCTTCCTCCACTCACCCTGGCCCCTCCCTGATCCTGGTTGGAACCAAGTGGTTGGAAGAAGTGCAGAGATGAGTGTGAGTGTCCTGAGTGATGGCTCAGGAGGGTGTAGCGATGGCTTCTTGGTTGGTGCTGATTACCCTCTGTGCAGCCTTCCTGTTCCTCTCACTGAGGGGCCGTAGAAGGCCTGCAGCAGCTCCTGGTCCTTCGTCCTCAGGACACAGAGGAGGTGCAGTCACTGCTGGGCCTTCTTCACCAGGGTGATGGTGTTGAGGGTCCAGGTGAGATCAGCAGAGATGTGGGTGCCCAGAAACCTGAAGGTGGAGACGGCTTCCATCCACTCTCCATTTGTAATGAGAGAGGAGTGGACGTGTCTGCGTCTCCTGAAGTCCATCATGGTAAATGGTAAATGGCCTGCATTTGTATAGCGCTTTTCTAGTCCCTAAGGACCCCAAAGCGCTTTACACTACATTCAGTCATCCACACACTGGTGATGAAGCTACATTGTAGCCACAGCTGCCCTGGGGCGCACTGACAGAGGCGAGGCTGCCGGACACTGGCGCCACCAGGCCCTCTGACCAGAGCTTTGGTTTCACGGACGTTCAGCTTCAGGTTATTTTCTGAGCATCCGCGGGACAAGCTCTCTACCTCCGCCCTGTCGGCTGTCTCATCTCCATCAGAGACGGGCCGACCGTGGCCCAATCAGCGGACTTCTTCATCCCTACAGCTGCTGACCAGCTGCTCCTGGAAGTGCTGAGATCCAGGAGGAAGCTCGGAGGGGACAGTGTCCACTTTTAAACCCATTTTTATTCTTTGGCCTCAGTGAGACTAAATAGGTTATTAACTAATTAATGAATTATTTCACTTTTGCTTCTATCTTATGTCATTTTATTATTTCTTATTACGTACAGCACTTAGCGTCAGCTGTGGTTGTTTTAACGTGCTTCCTAAACAAAGATGGTGGCATTGGGTGGGTGGACAGTCACAGGCCGGTGGGGGAGGAACAGTTTGACCCAGGAGCAGGTGGGGGGCCGATCGGCAGGTGACCTGAGGAGAGTTTGTTTCTACTTTGTCCTATTTAAATGTTTTCTAATTGTGTAAAACATGAACATATAGTAACGAGTACAGGATGAGGAGCTGTGGTCACCACGTTTGATCTTTCACCAGATGCTCTCTCATGATCTCATGATCTCACGATCCCGGCCTGTAGAAGCATATGTGGCATGGTTAGCATGGTTAGCATGGTTAGCATGGTTAGCATGAGCACGCTGAATAACCGTATGTTCTCTGTACTCTGTACCTTTGTTTTATCTCTAGTTGGAGATAAGGTGCCAGCTGACATCAGGCTGACATCCATCCGTTCCACCACCCTCAGGGTGGACCAGTCCATTCTGACCGGGGAGTCCGTCTCAGTGCTCAAACACACCGACCCTGTACCCGATCCCAGAGCCGTCAACCAGGACAAGAAGAACATGCTGTTCTCTGTGAGTCTCTCATAGGCCACGCCCACATCTGTCCTCTTGGATTCACGTTGACATGCTGTATAATTCAGATATAATCAACAAAGATGTGCAGCGGACCACCGACTGTGGAACCATCATTTAAGGGAGAATGTTGTTGAACTACAACATATTCCTCTGTCTCCATCCACATACTGTCTGACAGCAACACTACCACAAATACCCACCAAACGTGGATTAATCCGCCGCTAAAACTAGTCCCTCCTGTTTGGACCAACGTGGTGTAAAATGAGGCGTTTTCATAGATTTGTTAGTTAACTCATTAATTTTATGGAGGCATTGAGGAAGCATTCATATGAAGAGATTTACTCTGTGGACTTTGCTTTTAGATAAGAGTTGCTGGTGTTGGTAACCTAATCCGTTTACTACCCTCGTACACGTCAGCCAGCATGACCCTATTGGTAGTTGCTTCAGTTTTATGGTGTCGGGGCGCTACATCGCTCCAAGTCTCTTCCTGGAAATGTCTGCAGAGTTGCATACGTGGTGATGGCTCGCAATCGTAGCAGCCTGAAACGACTTCGTCCAGGCCAAAGTGTGGCAGGCGTAACCATGCCTGCTCGCCACGTTCAATACATCACAAAGCGGGAGGAAGTCTAACATCCACCTGTTTCTTCATTTTACTGGTTTATTTATTTCTGTACTAAGATAAAATGGTGTGTGTGTGTGTGTGTGTGTGTGTGTGTGTGCCTCAAAGGCTGTGAGTCACCAGGTGGTCTCTGTGGTCAAAGAGCCTCTGATGTTTTATTCAGCAGAGTGTGAGCTCGGCTCTGCTGCTCCTCTGTGCACTGACAGCCTGAACTTTTGCTCAGGGCACCAATATTGCAGCCGGCCGAGCCATCGGAGTCGTAGTGGCAACAGGGGTGCAGACAGAGATCGGGAAAATCCGCGATGAGATGGCCTCCACCGACCCCGAGAGGACCCCACTGCAACAAAAACTGGACCAGTTTGGAGAGCAGCTGTCCAAGGCGAGGATCGAGCCGTCCTCCTGTGTGATGTTTAGTCTTTATTAACAACACGAGTCCAAGTAACTCTGTTTTGGTGCAACCTGCAGGTCATCAGCGTGATCTGCGTGGCTGTGTGGGCCATCAACGTGGGACACTTTAATGACCCGGTGCATGGAGGCAGCTGGCTGAGAGGGGCTGTGTATTATTTCAAGATCGCTGTGGCCCTGGCAGTGGCTGCCATACCAGAAGGTCAGGCCTGTTACATCACAGTTAGTTGTCACACGCTGATCTCTCTCAGATCTCATTTAAATCAGATCTGTGCTGACAGACTGACCAGACATCTCTGTTTAACCCTTTAAAACCGGTCAGAGCAGCACGCTCC